AATATACTGCTGAGGGGAGCAGTGGGTGGGTCAAGAGAGGTCTGCTGCACCATGCTGCCTGGCCAGGGATTGAATCTGAGCTGCAGTGGCTGCCAGATAGCTTCATCGTGCTTCACCATTGTGCCAGTGAGAGGACTCTATTTTATTATTATATGACATAGTGACATATCATAGAAGGTGCCTACATAAACAGCTTTCCCTTCCAGAACACTCTAAATCAAACCGATTGAGATTACACTATAGGGTCCTGTCTCTGTTGGGTTCCTATGTGTTGTAATCAGTGTCGACTACTTCCCTTGGATTTCGAGTTAGGCAAAAGGACATCACTGCCTTTGCTGACCGAGGTTTCCTGTTTGTGTGGAACGCCTACATTTTGGGGAACATTTGCCTAATTTTCACTTCATATTTTTTCCCCTTAACTGCTAACACTATAGAAACGAGGTCCTATTCACATTTTTATTGACATACACTCCATTACCATCACCTTACTGTTAAAAATTAAAATTAAATGTAACTCATCATTTTTGTTTGATCAATACCTGTATAATACCCTGAAAATTTTTTTTTCACCTTTAGCAAGTTACTGCACCTCACTAGATTTTTAAAAAAATATTATTGATGCTCAGAATACCTCAATCTCTACTCCTATAAAATGTGAGAGGAACACCAAGAGTTATGTAGTGATTCACAAAAACCCTATGTAAGGAAACTGGCTAGTGTTTCCTTTACTGAGGAACACATGTCAGGGTCATACAAGGAGAGAACATGCTTACTCAGCCTGATTCCCCGAACTATCTCATGGTGACTTGGGGTTTTTGTGCTAGTGTCTGGGGGAGGAAGCACATTTTACATCTTTGAGACTTCATTTTCTTCTGAAAGTTTTAAATTTCCTTTACCTTTATTAAGTTTTGTGAATTTAATGATAGTTGACAGGGTGGAGCAAAGGTAGAATAGAGGGTTCCACGTACCCTTTAACCCATATTTGCATACATTTTGCTTAATTATAGTCTATCGTGAACATGAAGATAACATGGACATAGGTGTATATAGTTCTAGTCTACCTCATCATACGCAGTTTCCTGATAACCAAGAGATACAGAATATTCCATCACCACTAAGCCCTTTCTGACTGTTACTGTCCTATTACCATACTCTTCCTGTCACTATCCTTAAACCCTTAGAGGCAGTATGTTTTCCACCTCTATTCTTTCAGTGAAGTAAAAGTGATACATTTGAGCTAGTTAATAGTGATATGTAATATTATGAAAGAATCTAGCATATTTGGTCCTATTTCTATGAAATTAACATATAGGTACAGCTCCCTGTGGTGAGTCAGTCAAAATCTACCTATGCTGAGGTACTGAACTTAAAGGGGAGCTTTTGGCTTTAGGATTTTTTTTTTAAAGATTTATTTATTTACTCATACAGAACTGGGGTGCAGGCAAGAGATGCGGAGGGTGAGAGGATTCACCAGGGACAGAGTGGGGAGCAGAACAGGCAGATCGACGAAGTGCACTGCTGAGGAGAGCAGCGGGCGGGTCAGGAGAGGTCTGCCACACCTTGTGGTCACCTCCGGGGCAGGCGGGATCGAACTCATGTGGAAGTAGCCTAAGCTTCACAGTGCAGTGCTTTAACCCACTGTGCCACCAGGGAGGCCGGCTTTAGGATTTTTAAAAAACTAGTTCATTCAATTCAAATACTTGTATTTTATGTTCAATCATTATTTCTTGTATTGCTTTAATTTTTCATGTTCGGTCTCTTGAATTATCATGGACACAAATATGTTTTTTTTTTAAGATTTATTTATTTATTCATACAGAACTGGGGTACAGGCCAGAGATGCGGAGGGTGAGAGGATTCACCAGGGACAGAGTGGAGAGCAGAACACTGCTGAGGGGAGCAGCGGTTGGGTCAGGAGAGGTCTGCCACGCCATGTGGATGGACCACCTCCCGGGAAGTTGGGGATCGAATTCATGCGGAAGTGGCTTAAACTTCTTAGTGCAATGCTTTAACCCGCTGCTCCACCAGGGAGGACCCATGGACACAAATATTTTAACTTGCATTTTCAGAAACCTGGGTCACGATGGAGACAAGAGGCATCTCTTCTTCAAATAAAAGCAATCCAGTTGAAAGATGTCTTTGTACCTCCTTAGAAGGAGAGAATCCTGATTTATTTCAACATTTTCTTCAAAGCGTCTTTCACATCCTTATTCCTCAGGCTATAGATCATGGGATTCAACATAGGGAAGACGACGGTGTAAAATGTAGAGACTATTTTGTCTGTTCCCATAGCGTAGTTAGACCCGGGGCGCATGTAGATGAAAAGGATGGAGCCATAGTATAAGGTGACGGAGACCAGATGGGAGGAGCATGTGGAGAAGGCTTTGAGCCGGCTCTGGGTGGAGCGGATTTTCAAGATGGCGGCAATGATGAACATATAGGAGGCCAGGATGAACACAGTGGGGGTGATGACGTTGGAGGCCAGCAGGAAGTACATTAATGCGTGGTAGTCATCCTTCCTGCCACAAGCCAACTTCACTAGGGGAAGCAAGTCACAGAAAAAATCATCAATGACATTGCCACTACAGAAGTTGAAGGAAAACGTTTTTTTGGTAATGATGGAACTGTTAATAAAGCCACCGAGATAGGAGGCTGCTACCAGAAATGTACATAACTTTATGGACATGGCCTGGGCATAAAGGAGGGGCTTGGAGATGGCCACATA